GCCGCAGTGTTTGACGCTTTTTCGTTCAGCTAGCAGCACGAGCGCGGCTTTGCGTTTCCCCCTCCCAACCTCATTCCAACCATATTACGACACGCTAAACGCACATACGCTGAGGTGAACTTGGTCATTCCCGAGTGGCCGGGAGCATCATGGTGGCCACTCCTCCTACAGGCACCTGACGCCTGGGTGCCAGAAGTAACGGCACACATTCCTCTCACCCACGGCAGCCAATGCCTACGCCCCGTCACACACGCAGTCGCTTTCGCAGGACAAGGCTTTCCTCCTAGTTAGATGATTGCACTGCATGTCACGTATAAAAATTAATAATAATTGTACACTATGCTGTACCTTTTTAGGCATTATAACGAAGCTGCAAACGCAACTAATACACGTAATCACCCATGTCCGTGCCCCTTCCACCATCCGAACGTATGAGCCCTACTGGCTCAAATTTCGCTCCTTCTGCATGAAGGTGAAGTTGAGCTACTTGCCTGCAACGGATATGACCTTGGTACTCTACCTCATTCATGCACTAAATTACCAGGCCACCACATCTGCCATATCGCTTACATGCTCCGCCGTCGCCTTCGCGCATCGCATGACTGGCGAGCCCTCTCCCTCGACTGGACCATTTACACTACAAGTGCTCGAATTTGCCAAACGCCATGGCCCGCGCCCCACCCGGAACAAGGAACCTTTGTCGCTGCACCAAGTGCACACCATGGCCCGCCCCTTTCTGGAGTCCACCCGGCCGGCCGAGTACCAGAAAGGACTCATCCCCATCCTTATGTTCGCCGCCTTCCTACGCTACTCCGACCTTGTCAGTCTCCAATGGCATGACAAACAGTTTGAGCTTGAGGCGATGTGGCTGCTCATCCCGCACTCCAAGACCGACCAGGAAAGCAGGGGCACGTGGATTCCGGTCGCCGCCACTTCTGGCCCATACTGCCCAGTACGCTGCACACGACACTTTCTTCTCCTCGCGGGTCACACCTCCACCCCACACGGGCCATTGATCCGAGTCTTCGGGAACAGCAGCACGGCAACTCCACAGGACCACGCACCTTCGTACACCACCATCCGGAACTGGTGCCTTGAAGCATTCACCAGGGCCGGCCTCGATAGCGCCCACCTCGGCACCCACTCCTTTCGCAATGGCGCTGCTACAGCAGCAGCCAGCCTGGGGATATCCGACCGGCTGTTCAAGCGACTTGGCCGTTGGCGCAGCGATAATGCCAAGGAGCTCTACGTTACCATCGCGCATGACCAACTCCTTCAAGCCTCCATGCAACTCCAAGACGCAGCCACCGCTCCCACACCCAATCAGCACCAGCTATCTATTGAACGCCACCGCCAACCCCTTCTGCACATGTCTCAGAAGACCCAAATGAAATGAAGCACGCTGCCATTACAAGAGGACCTAAGCAAACTTTCACAATGTGGGCGAACACAACCGATTGAGTCGAGCTGGACATCCACATCAGCATATTCCCTGTGTCACTCTGGCTGGGCACCGCCCTGCTGGCAGTCCAAAGGTTTGAATGCTTGGACCGGAGATGATTAGTTTCTCCGTACAGTGGCCCGTGTCTCGATGTTGGAAAACACTCAGGTGATAGGGTTAGTCAGGATGAATACAATAATATCAGGTGTGATCTACATTGCCATATAGATACATTCTAAGAAAGCCTAGATGCATCGCGACGGAAGAAAATTCCTCTACAGAACTCCAAACACTTGAAAATCCACGCGGAAGGAATGATAGCTTGGAGAAGAGTAGTAGACGGCCGAGCACAGACTAGCGACATGGCGGCAGAAGCAGCGGTAGAAGCAGCTGTAACCGCGGGTTGCAGGAGTTCAAACGACCCCCTGTATGCTTGGGGCCTGAAAACAAACAGAAAGAGGGAGAAGAGAAGGGGGAGGAAAAACCAGGTAAGTCTGGATCCAACAACGAAAAATGGCACCAACGGAAGAGTCGCATCCACAGGTATAGTCTGCATGTGAATGCATGTGCATGTGTGGAAATTAGTGTTGGCGTGTGTTAAAAGCACATGCAAGAAATAATCTCGCACGAAAACAAGGGACCAATGGAACCACACAATGCTGTGAGGCGGGGGAGGTGGCGGAGGTGAGCAAAGCGGAGGGGGCGGTAGAAAAAAATGGCACAGGTGACTCACCTGGGAGCAGGTGGCAACCACCCGTTGACGTAACGGGCGAATAGAAACGCATCGTAGTAACCATCCTCCAAGTAATAGAAGCGCGGGAGGTAGCGCAAGAACACGAAGTGGAGGGAGCGGTAGAAGCGGATGGCAGAGGTGTTGTACGAGACGACGTGCAGATAGACGGCAGCACAGTGGGTGAGGGATGAGGCGTGGGAGAGCAGGAGATGCACCAAGTGCGATGCTGCAAGCAAGTAGTTGGTGGGGAGCGGTGGGGGGGTGGGGACAGTGAGGACATGAGGAGTGAGAGGAACGGGGTTTCGTCTTCTTTCTCTTCGGTGCATTCTGAGGCTGGTTCACAAAGGGGAGAGTCTATTTTTGAGGCGCCTCAAAAATAGACCGTTCACAAAGGGGAGAGGCGGATAGAGCAAACAGGAGGAGAAGCAGGGCGAGCGGTGGAAGCGGATCGCGGAGGTGTTGTAGGAGACGACGTGCAGATAGACAGCAGCACAGTGGGGGAGGGATGAGGCGTGGGAGAGCAGGAAATGCACCAAGTGAGATGCTGTGGGGACAGGGGCACAACGGGGGCAGTGGTGGGAGGGAGAGATGATCAGGGAAGTGAAAGGGGGGGGAAGTGCAGGTTTAGGGCAGCACAGAGGGGGGGAGAGGAGGTGTGGGAGAGCAGGGGATGCACCATGCGGGATGCTGTGGTAACAGGGGAAGGGGGTACGTAGAGGGGGGCAAAGGGGTGGGAGGGGAGAGGGGGGGGGGGGGGGGGGGGAGAGGCGCAGAGCAGTAGAGTGCAGGAGAGAAGAGGCACGCGATATGCTGTGGAAACAGGGCAAGCGGATGGAGCGAGGCAGGTAGTGGGAGAAACCAGGTAGGTGTGAGAGGAGTGGGAGGTGGAGCAGTGGGAGAAGCTGGGGAACAGCTGCCAGGAGAGGTGTGTGCGTGCGTGGCAGAAAGCAACAGAGAGTGCTCAAGGTGACTTGGAAATAGATTAAAAAGTCTTAACCACACCAATCCAAAAAGCTTACCCACACCAGCCTTGCGGTAGGGCTTTGCGACACCGAGAGTGAGGATGTAGAGGAGAGTGGGGGCTGGTATGTGCCAGGAGGAGGGAGGTGTGAGGGGAAGCACATCTGCCCCCTGTGAGGGGTTAGGAAAGGAAGGGGAGGGCGGCAAAGGAGAAGAGCGAGAGGAGAGGAGGGGTGAACAGAGAAGCAAGCGAGTGAGGTAACGGTGGCAGGAGAGAGGGCAAGAGTGAGGGCAGGGATGTGAGAGGGGGTGGGAATGAGACAAAGGAGGGCGAGAATGTGCGCCGCATTGTATTTCAGAAGGGGTGGTTGCGCTTCTGCAAAAGGAGCCAAGCAGGCAGTGATGAAGCCAATGAGCCTGTCAGGCTGGGAGGGGTCCACTGACTCCATTGATCCCAACAGTGGGTCACTAGCTCAACCCACGCTTACGTGAGCCTCTGCTGGGGGCACCAGGCGCGCAGTGATGAAGCCAATGAGGCGGCCAGGCTGAGAGGGGTCCACTGCTCCCCACGAGATGATGCCCCTGTGGTGCACCACATTGTCGTAGAACTCTGCCTCGTACCTGGCAGGGAGGGAGGGGAGGTTAGGGAGGGGAGGGGGGAGACGTGACACTTGAGCCGCATGAAATCGACTGCCCCCCACCCACGAGATGATGCCCCTGTGGTGCACCACGTTGTCATAGAACTCTGCCTCGTAGCTGGTGGATGGGAGGGAAGAATAGGGAGGGAAGGTGGGAGGGAGGGGGAGGGGGGGGGAGTTCAAGTCACAAGTTGATCACCAGCCACCTTCTCCCCACGAGTCTAGTTTTGAGGCGCCTCAAAACTTCACAAGTTGATCACCAGCCACCTGCTCCCCACGAGATGATGCCCCGGTGGTGCATCACACTGTCGTAGTACTCTGCCTCGTAGCCACCTGTCTATGGTTTGCCTCTGTGGTGGAGGGGGAGGGGCGGGGGAAGAGCGAGCAGGTGAGAGTTTTTGGGAATTCTCAAAAAATTTGCAGGGTGTTTTTGAGAACTCCACAAAAATTTGCAGGGTGTTTTCGAGAATTCACAAAAGCACCGTCTATGGTTTGCCTCTGTGGTGGACGGGGAGGGGCGGGGGAAGAGCGAGCAGATGAGCGGACTGGGTGTGGGGAGAGAGGGGAAAGCAAGGAGGGTGGTGAGGTCCCAGGGTTCCACTGCTCCCCACGAGATGATGCCTGTATGGTTTGCCATATTGTCATAGAACTCTGCCTTGTAGCAGGCGGATAGAGGGTGGAGGGGGGAAGGGGAGGGGGCAAAAGGTGAGCCGCACACAGTAGATGACTGCTCCCCTGGAGATGATGCTCCTATGGTGCCACGCTGTCATAGACCTCTGCCTCGTGGCTGTGGGAGAAACAAAGGGGAGGACGAAGGGAATGGGGGCAAAGGGCCGGAGGAGCAGGGGCATGCAAGAATAACGGAGCATCCTCTATACAAGAATGTGAAGAAATGCCCACGGCGCAATGGGGAAGGTAGCTTCGTGCAGGGTGGTTTTGAGAATTCTCAAAAACACCCTTTGAGAAGTCTCAAAAACACCCTGAGAAATGTCTTACGCAATGGGGAAGGTAGCTTCGTGGAGCGCCTTGAGATGATCCATATCACCAGGGCCAATGTCGCGGTAGGGATGCATGCAAGAACCGTATAGCACCATTCCTAGGAGAATGTGCAGGAAAGCATCGCACAATGGCGTGTCAGGCGCTCCTAGGTGTTTTAAGACACCCTCAGGTGGCCCTCAGGTGGCTCAGGTGCTTTCTCAAGTGCTTCAGGTGGACAGGCTTACACGATGGGGAAGGTGGCTTCATGGAGCGCCTTGAGGTCATCCATATCGTTGGGGCCAATGTCGCGGTAGCACACAGCAGGAGATGAGGACGGTGCATGGCACCGCGCTTGCTGCTGGTAGTGGTAACTCGGATGCTGATGGTGCTGATGGTGGTGATGTATGTGATGTTGGTTATGCATGTAGCAATGCTGGTGTGGACCAGAGAGGAGAGAGTTCTGCTGCTGTTGCTGCTGCTGCTGCTGGTGCTGCTGCTGGTGCTGCTGGTGCTGTTGGCAAGTGCAATGATTGCAGTGCTGACAATGGTCATGGCTCTGCCTTGAGTCGCAATCATCCGCTTGGTGATGCGGGGTATGGTGAGGGCAGGCAGAGGCGTGGGCATGGTGAACGGCAGACGGCTCAGATGCATTCAAGCTCAGGCAGCTCCCAGCATCACCAGCGCTTTCAGCAGCGGTAGCAGCATCGATGCTACCACTGGTATGACTGCACCCAGTCGCACTAGAACCGCCACCAGCAGCAGCAGCAGCACCAGCAGCAGCAGCAGATGAGCGCACTGCAGGTGAGAGTATTAAAGATTCTTGTGCACCAGGAGAAGGGGGATGGTGGTGGGCGGGTGACTGGGCGCGACAAGCAGCAGGGGGACAGTGAGGACGTGGAGGGGGGGTGTGAGTGTAACGAGAGTCAGCGCTAAGGGGAAGGCAGTGAGGAGGAGAGGAAAGAGGCACGGAGGAGGGGGGCGCAGGAGGAGGGAATCCGGAGCCTTGCAACGACGGCATGGCGAGGGGAGGAGAGGAGAGAGGACAGGGATGGGACTGACAGCAGCCCTGCGAGGCACGGTGTGCACATGCAGCAGGAGAGGCGGAATGGGGGAGTGACAAAGGGGGCCGGAAGGGGCGGGCGGAAGAAGCAAGGCAACAGGGTAGAGGGGGCGATAGGAGCGTCCGTGCAGTGGTGGGGGGGGAGAGGGCGGCGACAAGAGGGGGAGGGGATAAAGGAGGGACGGGACGGGCGTGGTTGGGATGGGTAAGAATCGGTGTGGAGGAGAAGAAGTGGAGGTCGAGGAGGCAGGAGCGAGAGGAGCAGGAGACAACCTCAGCAGAGGAGGTGTGAGCAGATGAAGCACAAGTTGCCCCATTCCCTCCTGCACGCTCCATCCCCCCACCCTCCATCCCCCCACCCTCCATCCCCCCACCCTCCATCCCCCCACCCTCCACCCCCCCACCCTGCATCCCCCCGCCCTCCATCCCCCCGCCATCCGCCTCCAGGGTTCGCATGAGCTCCGCATCCCATGCCATGGCGTGCCTGTGGAGGGACGGCGACAGCTCTGCCACGTGGCGCGCTGCCAATGGGCCAGCGTTGTTGCGCTCCAGAACTGTCAAATCTGCAGCTGCGCCACACTTCAACTCTCCGACCCGCTCTCTCCTCTGCTCTGCGCTCGGCTCCCTGCTCTGCACCCCCCCTGGAGACTGCTGAGGCGCCTCATACGTATGTTCAGTTCCCCCTGTCGCATGCTCCTGTGCCTGTGAGAGCAGGGCGGAGTAGCCCCTCTGCTGGGGAGAAGCATACCCCTGCAGCTGCTGCGAGTGAGTATGCGTCGGGCAGAGTGGCTTCTGGGGCGGCTCACGGATCCCTAATCCTGTTGTCGTGTGATCTAAGGAGGATTGTAACTCGGTTACCCTAACCCTAATTTCAGGCGAATAAATCGCTCCACAACCTGCCGCATCCCCCTCCCTCGTCCCCGTTATAGCATGACGCGCTACACGGCTTGTTGTCTCTACGCTGTTCCTAGTACAGCTCTCTACGGACCCTGAAACTGAAACTCCTGGCGAGTCTGACAACCTAAGCTCTCTCGACCGATCTGAAACCCAATCAACCCCACAATTATCCCTGCCAGCCCTACCTCCCTCTCGTTCTCTATCACCCCTACCTTCTCCAACTCCCCCTCTACTTCCCCCACTATCTCCCCCCCAAGCACCTCCCCCTGAGTCCTTATCCCCCCCTCTCCCCCGGCCAGTTCCCCCCTCGCAGCCACAGGCGGTAGAATCGCTGGCAGCGCGCCACGCGCTGACGTCGGTCTGCCACATGCTGACGTGGCGGCTGCCATCCGCCTGCCGGCTGAGGAAGGGCCGTCGAGTGGAGAAAATCGCGTAGAGGAGAAAAACGATCAACGATTAGAGAAATACCCCCAACGAGCACGTGACGGACTCGGCAAAAACACAACTGCATCGGCACCCTGCAATATCGCAACGAACGCGAGGGATGCACATCGAAAACAACCGCATCGCGCCCATCACCACCGCTTATTTCGCCGACGTGCGGTCTGTCCTAGGCGAGGGAACTTCCCGTTAACGAATCGCGACCGACTCACCTGCGTAACTGCGCCAGCTCTACTCCTTTGCCTCCGTCGCCTGTGTACTGAAAACGTAGCGCTTGTCGAATTTCGCGATCTGGCCCAAAAGTTCCCGTTCCGACATCGCGACCGACTCACCTGCGTAACTGCGCCAGCTCTACTCCTTCGCCTCCTTTGACGCCTCCTTGGTCTCCTTCGCCTGCGCGCTGATGTTGTACCGCTTGTTAAATTTCGCGATCTGGCCCTCCGTCTCGGCCTTCTTGCCCGGGTCGCGGATGTAGAACGGCCGGTCGGATTTGAACACCTGCGCGGACAGCACGCGCACGAGGCGGCCCTGCGGGGTCACGAGGCTCAGCCACTGCAGCGCGGGGTGGATTCCCTTCTTCATCGCACTCCCTACCGCGCGCCGCTCCCACGCGACAGCACGAGGCTAAACTTACTGGCCGTCGCACGAGCGATTTCCGCGCGCGAGGCGGAAGATATGAGCGGAGCGGTAAGCCTCACGATCGCTACTAAGCTACTCCCAGCAGCTTGAACCAGGCTGGGAGGGATACAGGCTGTACAATACTAGTGTTCCCTGAATCAGGGATTCACTTATGGAGGTCAGGAAGGCCCTGTTTCATGTGGAAACCCGTTCAAGTTTCGACTTTCCAGTACACACCAAGAACTGAGCGGAGTTGCTCCGGTGCTGAGATTGCTGGTGATTTTGCCCAGAATTTGCTTGGGTCTTGGGAAGAAAAATTTGACGTCCAGTTTGGTTTGCGGACTTTTAGAGGGTAGAGCGCGTTATTCAGCCCGAACCGCCCTTGTCACGAAGGAGATTCTCCAGCTGTGCCCGCCTTCCCACATCCTCCATAAGAGCAGATACAGTTTAATAAACGGGGAACACTCTCATATACCCTTCTGGTTTGTGCCTCCAAATCGTAGGGGTACACACTTTGCACCAATCGCATCTTTCGGCATCTCCAAACGGAATCCGTGCTCGATATAATCACCTGGTTCCCGCCTTCACACCGAAATCCCCGCCAGGAAACATTGGGAAGTGTGCCAGTGCCAGCCCTTGGGAACAGCCAAGGCTGGCTGCCAGAATCTTGGGAGTTCCAACTTCACCACCCCACACACCTCCCAAAACAGAGCTCAGAACAGGCAGGCATCCATTTTTCAAAACAGGCAGTTTCCTTCAATATTTGGCCATGGCGTTAGCAGGGATTCTAGTGTTTTGCCATTGACCAGTCAGTAGCTCTGTTCCTCTGTACCTTCCCCGTGGCTAGCTCTGCAGTCTTCGAAGCGTCGCTGAACGATTCGGTTCAGGAGATCGATGCGCTTCTACTCTTGTCGGCAAGCCCACCTCCTTGCAGACCCTAAATAAATACTTTTAATTACTTTCCCGCGGAAGTAGTTACGACCCTGCACTGGAGGCTGTAGATATTTGAGGTTGTACTTTTCTTTCGTTTCCCGCTGGCACGATGAGCAAGAAGGACGATGAGAAGCACGAGAAAATTATCCGCGGGTTGCTGAAGCTGCCCGAGAATAAGAAATGCATCAACTGCAACAACCCGGTAACGCCGTTCGCCGCCATTTAAGACCCTACTTAGCCTCGCAAGCTACTCCTTTATCAAGTCGTGACGAGTTGTCAACCTGTGTCGATCTATCCGTTATACCGGGATTCAGTTGTTGTAGAGTGGCAGGGCCTCATTTGAGGTCAGCTCGCCTGTCTTTATCCCGATAAGCTACCCACGGCGAGCAATTGCTTTAAGATTCTTCCGAGCTCGCCGATCTGATGATACCTATGTCGCTCAAAACTCGCCGGTTTAACTCAATGCTTCTCGTTAAGCGCTAATCAGCCGACCGCCTTACCGTCACAAATCCCTCACGAAACACCCGTTCCGGGCTTCTTAACACCATTATTTACCATCCGGCCTCTAAAGCACCCTTCCCCGACGTCGATTCCCCCCTTTCCTTTCGTCACGAGCCTTAGTCTGTGTGTACGATCATCCGTGTGTCCCTCTGACCATCGCAGGGCCCGCAGTATGTGTGCACGAATTTCGCGACGTTCGTCTGCATGGCGTGCAGTGGCATCCAGTGAGTCCCCTTCATCCTCCCTCATCCTTCCCGCTGCGGACCCATTGAGTCCTCGTCCGTTTGCTCCTTCGTCACCCTTGCCAGATCTACATCCTCAGCTCGTTTGTTCTTTCCGGTAACCGACGATTGCGAAGTGCATTCCCGAGACAAAACAAGATTCTTTTACTAAAACGGTTACGTGAACTCCCGCTTACCCTTTTTTATCAGCCGCGAGTACACCCACCGCATCAAGTCCGTGTCTATGGCCAAATTCACGCCCGAGGAGGTGGCGGCACTGCAGCAAGGCGGCAACCAGGTGAGGTTACTGCGTGACTGGCAACCAGAAATGTGGTAACCAGATATGTAGCAATCAGGCAGAGCCGCGAGTACACCCGCCGCATCAAGTCCATGTCTATGGCCAAGTTCACGCCCGAGGAGGTGGCGGCACTGCAGCAAGGCGGCGACCAGGTCAGTGGTAACCCGTTATATGGTAACCAGAGTTGCGGAAACCAGGTGCAGTCGCGAGTACACTCAGTGAGTGGCAATCAGGTGAGACGTTGTAGGCGTGGCATTGGTGGTGGTCACATATTTTGTTCTGACCGACATCTGCCCTGTTGTCTACCCTCCCCTTTCCTCCTGCCCGCGTGTAACAGAAAGCTCGAGAGTTCTTCCTGGCCAATGCAGCCAGGGTGCAGCCTCCAGACCCTAAGTGAGTCTTCCTGCAGCCTTTCCCGCTCCCATCCTCCCGCACTTTGCTGTACGTGTTTACGCTCTCTCTCTCACAAGAAGCTGATCCACTCGCCTTGCTCCGTTTTCCCTTTGGGTCTCAACATGTATCGACCCTCCCCTTCCCTTCCCCCATCCGCTACCACCCCTTCCCTTCCCTCAGCGACCCGAATCGGCTGCGGGAGTTCGTGCGGTCGGTCTATGTGGAGAGGCGCTACGTGGCCAGCAGAGAGGGCGGCGCTGCTGCTCCCCCACCCCCTCGCGCGCAGCCCTCGTCCCCCTCCCCTCCCGCAGACCTTCCCCCCGCCTCCTCCTCCTCCCCGCAGCCCCCTCCTCCCAGCACAGCGATCACAGCCGCTCGTCCTCTGATTCCCGGGCCATGAGGGCTTCTGCGGATGGGTATGCAGGCGCCAGTGGGGCGAGTAGAGGCCCGGGCAGAGGGGCGGGGTATGGGAGCGACAGGCAGCCGCAGCAGCAGCAGCAGGAAAGGGAGAAGCCGAGGCATAAGGGAGGGTTATCTTCGTTCCTGGGATTCAAATCCCGTGGCAGCAGCAGCAGCAGCAGCAGCCACAGTGGTGGCGGTGGCAGCAGCGGCGGTGGTGGAAGTGGTAGTGGGGGGGCTGCAGGTGGCAGGCACAGCAGCAGCAGCAGCAGCAGCGGGAGTAGGGAGAGACGAGAGGACTCACTGAAGGGGGAGCACCGGAGGGACGGTCTAGGGGGAAGGTCCTCGTCCCCTTCCGGTTCCAGTAACAGCAGGGGCAGCGACAGGGAGAGGGAGAGAGAGAGAGACAGGGAGAGGGAGAAAGACAGGGAGAGGGATAGGCATGGGCATGGGCACGGGGGGCAGAGGACTAGCAGAGACGAGGGAGGGGGAGGATCCTCAGGTGCAGGTGGGAGCGATGGGAGGCACATGAGGAAAAACGGCAGTGGGGGTGGTAGTGGGAGTGGGCAGACTAGAGCCAGCGGAGGAGGAGGAGGGGCTAGAGGGGGAGGGGGTGGGGGAGGGGAGGAGGTGAGGAGTGTGTCTGTGACTCAGGTGCTGGGGCGGGATGTGGAGCTGAAGGTGTATGCGGAGGGGGAGGAGGGGGCGGTGGGGAACGGCGTGCATGGGGGGCAGCAGCAAGGGGGGAATGGTGCGCCTGGGAGCCCCGGGTCAATAGCTTCCTCTGTGAGTTTCCTGACCAGTGTTTTCTCACTCCTCCCTCTTGCCCTCTTTCAATAACGCTCGTCGTTCACAGTCACAGACGGATGTGATTGTTCACATGTTGTTCCTTTTATTCCTCTCTGCTTGTCTCCCCGCCTTCATATGCCCAACTCTCTCTCTGTGGCTGTCCCTCTGCCCCCTGCCCCCTGCGCCCTGCCCCCACCACCAGGCGGCATCGCGCAAGGCGGCTGACGCCCACCCTCCGACGCCTGAGAGCAAGCCACCCCCCTCCGCCACTGCCACTGCCGCCACGGCGAGCCTCATAGACTTCTCCTTTGACGACCCCACCCCCGCCCCGCCCACCGCCACCACAGCACCCGCAGCACTTGCACCGGCAGCAGACCCCTTTGGCCTCGCAGACCTCCTTGCTCCACCCCCCGCTGCCCCTGCTCCTGCTGCGCCAGGTGTGGCCCCTGCAGGTATCGACCCTGCTGCTGCTGTGCCTCCCTACGGGGCTCAATTCCCAGGCGGAGCCCAACCGTTCGGGGATCAGCCGTTTGGGGGCGAGCCCCTGGCAGGCCAACCGTTTGGGGCTCAGCCGTTTGGTGGTCAAACGTTTGGGGGCCAAGAGTTTGGGGGGCAAGGGTTTGGGGGACAAGCGTTTGGGGGTCAGCCTGGGGGAGCCCAGCCGTTTGTGAGCCAGTCGTTTGACGGCCAGCAGTTTGGAGCGCCTGTGCCTGGCGCCCAGCCTTTTGCTGCCTTTGGAGGTCCTGCCGGCCAGCCGACGGTTGACTCGAGTCAACAGGCTCAAGGCGGTGCGGCCTTTGACCCGTCTCAGCAGGCGCAGGGCGGTGGGGCTGTGGGCTGGGGTGCAGGCTTCCTCCAGCCTGACGAGTCACCTGCTCCTGCTGCTGATCCTGCCTCCGCGCCTGTTCCCCCTGCTGCTGGTGGGTTTGGCGGGCCCCAGGTGCAACCACAAGCACAGCAACCGATGCAGCAGGGGAGCTTGTTTGGGGGAGAGGGCGCTGTTGATGCAGCTGCGGCAGCGGCAGCACCACCGCAAGCAGCAGCAGCAGCAGCGGCGCCTGCATTGGATACGCCAGCAGTAGAGGGAGGATTTGCCTCTTGGGCTGCTTTTGACGCCGCCCCTGCTCCTGCCCCTGCCTCTGCCCCTGGTCCTGCTGGTCCTGCTGCTGCTTCTGCTGCAAGCCCACCTGCATCGGAGGCTGCACCTGGCGTTTCTCCTGAAGCTGGTTCTGCGCAAGCAGCAGGGGGAGCAGCGTCTTCTGGCGCTGGGGAATCACCTGCTGCTGGCGCCACCGCTGCAGCTGCTTCTACTGCAGCAGCACCAGCTGCAGATATGGTAGGCCTGTTTGATGCATCCCTTGCCTTGTTTTTTTCCTGGTGTTTGCCACCCCATAGCACGCTTCCTGAATTTCCAAGGTCACACGCTGGCTGGTAGCAGATTAGGTTGAGGGAGTGTCTCACCCGCTGATGCTCACGTTTAGCTTTGAAAAACCAGCCCATAAACGTTGGAGTCCGGTTTCAGAGTCAATAGTTGAGGCGCCTCAAAAATACACCCGCTGCTGCTCGCGTTAAGCTTTGAAAAACCAGCCCATAAACGTTGGAGTCCCGTTGCAGAGTCGCTTAGAGGTCAGGTCAGGGAGTCAGCGACTCAGCGCTCATCTGCTGCCCTGCCTGCTGTTTCCTTTGCCTGTGCTGCAGGCATGGAGTGCCTTTGGTGACGAGCCAGCACAGCCACCACCACCGCAGCAGCAGCAGCAGCAGCAGCAGCAGCAGCAGCAGCAGCAGCAGCCAGAGATGACAGGGACGCCTGCTGCTGCTCCAGCCGCCACCGCCGCCACAGCAGCGGCAGCAGGGGGTGCATCTGCGCCTGCAGCAGCGGCGGCTCAAAAGGCATCTGCTGCACGTGCAGCAATTCCAGAGGTGCCTGAGCCATTCTCCCTCCTCATCACTTATACCTCCTCCCTCTCACTCACTCCTACGCCTCCTTCCTCGCACTCACTCACACCTACGTTTCTTGCTCCTCCCCCTTGTTCCCCCTCATAAATCGTACTTCCTTGTTTCCTCCCCGCTACTCGCCCCCGTTCAACCGTGTCCCCTCTACTCCCCTCCTACTGCTCGTTCCCCCAAGTCACCCTTCGTTTCCCTCCCCCTCATCCCCCCATCTGCTTCATCTCCTCATTGACTTGCCCCCTGGCCCTCCAGCCTAAACGAGCCTCCCTCGCCTCAGCGGTTTCGCCTCCTCCCCTCCTCTCAAAGCCCTCTTCCCCTCCTGTTGTATTTTGAGTCGACTCAAAATACAACTCCTCTCAAAGCCCTCTTCCCCTCCTCTCTACTCCCTTCCAGAAAGTTTTTTCCCCAACCCCCTCCTCCCTGCCCCGCAAGTCAGGGCGAGCCCCCTTCGTGATTTTTGAGTCGACTCAAAAATCTCCTCCCTGCCCAGCAAGTCAGGGCGAGCCCCCTTCCCTCCGTGATCCCAAGGAGCCGCAAAACCCGCTGTTCACTCCGCATCATTTCCCCTTGCCTCCTCCTCTCCCCTCGCTCCATCTGGACCTTTTCACCAACCTCCTCCGTCCCGGCCCCTCAAGTCTGGACGAACTTGCCACACCTTGGAGGTAGCTTCAGGCGCACAAAACCTGCTGTCCTCCCCCCACATATCTCCCCCTCCCCACCTCCTCCCCTCTCCCCCCCCCATCAGGATTTTTTCACCAACCTCCTTCCAGCCCCGCAAGTCAAGAACGACCTGCCTTACCTTGGTGGCTACGCCGCCCCTCCCGCCCCCGCCCCTGCTGTCACGGATACCAGCTCTCTCGCCTTTGGGTCGCCGGGGACAGTGGCGGCTGCTGCATCCGCCTATGGGGCTTATGGGCAGGTATGGGAGGGTGGGGAATGGTGTGAATGTGAGGACGGGGGTGGAAAAGGGGTGGGGAATTGGTACGAGCACACTCTCCTTTGGGTCGCCGGGGACAGTGGCGGCTGCTGCATCTGCCTATGGGGCATATGGGCACGTATGGAAGGGTGGGATGCAGGCGGGATGAGGTTGGAGAAAGGATTGGGGATTGAGTCTTCCTCTTCCAGATGTGAGACTGCAGGATTCTGTCAGCACCTTCATGCCTTCACTGTGCCCCATGCATCCATCCATCCATGCATGCATGCATGCGCCTGTGTTCACCTTGCCCCTCATACCTCGTCACCACATTTCTGCAACTATCTCCCTTGCAGTATTTGTTTTTTTTTTTTTTTTTTCCTTTTTTTTTTTCTGCAGAGAACTCCTTATGCTTCTCTGAAACTTTGCACCGCTTTGCATTGCTCTGCTCCACTCTCCTCCTCGCCCCCTGCAGCCGCCCATGTCCGCTTTGGGTCTCCCTCCCCAAGCCATGGACTTGCCGCCCTACCAGGTCGCAGGAGCTGCTACAGGACAAGCCATGCCATCCGCATACGACCAGTTTCTTTCCACCAATGCAGCCGCCCCTCCTCCGTTCGGTGGTGCTGCTGGTGTTCCTGCTGGTGTGGGTGGTGCTGGCTATGGTGCCGCTGCTGGTGCTAATGGTCCGGGCAGCAACGCAGAAGCAGCCGCATCAGCAGCAGCAGCAGCAGTCAAGTCGACCAATCCCTTTGCTTTTGATGATGACGATGAGGAGGAGGCCACTGCTGCCCCTACGACTACTGCTGCTGGTTCTGCCCAGGTGGCTTGCCCTCCTGCCATCTCCTCCACCTTCATTGCTGTTCTCATGGAAAGAATCTGGTCGTTTCTGTTCGCCCTCAGCCTTGGTCGTTTCTGTTCGCCCTCAGCCTTGGTCGTTTCTGTTCGCTTCGCCCTCAGCCTTGGTCGTTTCTGTTCGCCCTCAGCCTTGGTCGTTTCTGTTCGCCCTCAGCCTTGGTCGTTTCTGTTCGCCCTCAGCCTTGGTCGTTTCTGTTCGCCCTCAGCCTTGGTCGTTTCTGTTCGCCCTCAGCCTTGGTCGTTTCTGTTCGCCCTCAGCCTTGGTCGTTTCTGTTCGCCCTCAGCCTTGGTCGTTTCTGTTCGCCCTCAGCCTTGGTCGTTTCTGTTCGCCCTCAGCCTTGGTCGTTTCTGTTCGCCCTCAGCCTTGGTCGTTTCTGTTCGCCCTCAGCCTTGGTCGTTTCTGTTCGCCCTCAGCCTTGGTCGTTTCTGTTCGCCCTCAGCCTTGGTCGTTTCTGTTCGCCCTCAGCCTTGGTCGTTTCTGTTCGCCCTCAGCCTTGGTCGTTTCTGTTCGCCCTCAGCCTTGGTCGTTTCTGTTCGCCCTCAGCCTTGGTCGTTTCTGTTCGCCCTCAGCCTTGGTCGTTTCTGTTCGCCCTCAGCCTTGGTCGTTTCTGTTCGCCCTCAGCCTTGGTCGTTTCTGTTCGCCCTCAGCCTTGGTCGTTTCTGTTCGCCCTCAGCCTTGGTCGTTTCTGTTCGCCCTCAGCCTTGGTCGTTTCTGTTCGCCCTCAGCCTTGGTCGTTTCTGTTCGCCCTCAGCCTTGGTCGTTTCTGTTCGCCCTCAGCCTTGGTCGTTTCTGTTCGCCCTCAGCCTTGGTCGTTTCTGTTCGCCCTCAGCCTTGGTCGTTTCTGTTCGCCCTCAGCCTTGGTCGTTTCTGTTCGCCCTCAGCCTTGGTCGTTTCTGTTCGCCCTCAGCCTTGGTCTCTCCGCCCGGGTGGAAGAGAGGGCGTGAGAGGGTGGGTCCCCCCATCCGGGCAGCCATTGGCTGGAAACCCCCTCTCACCGCTTCTCCTCCGTACTGTTCACCTCCTTTTGGTATCCGCACTTTTCTTTATCCAGTCAGGTCATTCCAATAACCGTGCTTCTCTCCATCTCATCACCCCCTTTCTCCCTCCCGCTCTGCAGCTCCCATCCTTCCGGCCATTCGCCATGGACCCGGTCGCTGCCCCTCTCCCGTACCTCCTTCCTGACCCCATGCCTTTCTTCCCCCTCTCCCTGCTCCCATCATCCCAGCCATTCGCCATGGACCCTCTAGCTGCTGCTCTTCCTGGCGGCTATTTTGCCGGCCCCAGCAACACTGCCGCTGGCCCTTTCCAGTCTCCCCAGCAGCAGCAGCCGCAGCAAACTGCAGGTAAGGGGTTGTTATCACTGCCGGGATTGGGAGTGATCACGTCGTCTCCCCTTCCCATTCCTCCCCATCTCCGTCCAATAGCCATGCCAGTATGATGCCTCTTTCAGTCCCAGCCTGCTCATTCATTCCCACGATGCCTCGTTGTTGCTTCCTGATTTCATGACAGTTCTTTTCGCCCCCATCCCCCTTCCTTTTCGCCCCCCTCGCCCCTTCCTTTTCCTCCCCCCAATCACCCCCCTGTGGCTCTCCCATCAGCGGCCACCCCATACCCCCCCGGGCCAGCTCTCTCCCCCACACCCTCCACCTTCTCCCCCTCCACTCCCCCCCAACCCTCCGACCCTTTCGCCATGCCTAACCCTGTCCAAGCCTCCTCGCCTGGTCTGGCCGGACCTGCTGGTGGGTTCGGAGGCGCCACGCCTGGAGGGGGGTTGAGTGTGTCTGCAGACCTCTTTGGTGCTGGCTTTGGGTGGGGAGGAGGGGGGGCAGGGGGAGGGGTTTAGCGGGAGGAGGCGGGGGAGGAGGGCATAATCAGATGCATTCTGGAGGTGCTGGTGGTGCCGGTGTTGGTATGTCTGCATCTATTGATTTTGGCTACCTTGGTAGCAGTGGTGCTGCTTCTGGTTTTGCTCCTGGTCCTGCTGCTGCTGCTGCTGCTGGAGGGAACTTTGGATTCGGTCCTGCTGCTGCATCAGCAGCAGCACCACCGTCGGCGGATCCATTCGCTTCGCTTATGCCAACCGGGGCACCGGCTCCTGGTGGTCATCCACCGGCTCCTGCTACAGGTGCGGCTGCGGCTGCTCCTGCATCATCTTTGGACGATTTCAACCCGTTTGGCTGAGTGGTGGCCCTTACACACTCGCATTCGCCACTCCTGCTAGGTCGAAGGTCAGATAGCATAACTTGATTATTCTGTTAGTCTCGTTAGCTTTTTTCTCATGTAGAGCAGTTATAGGGTTCAATTGTGTCATTCAACCAGATTATTAGGTGTTTGCTTTGTCCTACTAAGTGGAGGATATTTAGATACATAGTGACCATCACGTCGTGGTTGCCGAGTCCTTATGCGTAGGCACAAACGCGTATTTGTCAACGCCAACAAGGCACCTTGCCTTGCCAGTCTGGCAAGGCGGCATTTTTCTGGACCACATGGGTTTTCAACTCTCTTCGGAAGTTTCGCCAGAAGAGGAGCTTGCCCTGCTGGCGTCTTCTCATGAGGCTATTGGTAAAAGATTTGTAGGTGTTGACTTGCTGGCACCATCAAATCGCCCCATTGGTTGGGTGGTCAGTGGAGTCCTCGGTAACTTCGCAAGCAATTCCCCAATTTCGAGCCCTCCGTATTGACGACGAGTTTCGCAAGCCTTTGCGACGCCCAAGCGAACTAGGCGAGAAATCCAGCCACCCATGCCATCCACACGCTTGCCACCTGTGGCCAGTATCGAACGAATCAGAGCAGAGCGCTTTGCCTTGCTGTGCATCCAATTTCCAGCAGCCCGCCGCATGTCCAAGGAGACATCGAGGCGCCCAAGAAAGCTGCGGACAGTGCAAGGAAAGGTGCTCGTCGCCATTGCAAAATCCCCTCCCCCCACTCCCCTCCCCCCACTCACACACGCCCCCCAACAATCACCTACCTAATCCAACAACTTGTTGAACCTTCCCCCCCCTTCCCCCACCCCCCAGCATCAGCCCCCGCCGTGCCCCCTGTTTCTGTGTTCTGTCGTCTCTGCTCTGTGCTCCTAGCATAAAAAGCATTCAGACGCCATTTCTCCTCGATCCCCTCCACTCATCAAACTTCCGTTCTCAACCAAGTTTTCCGCAGCCACGGGCTTCCTCCATCACCTGGTCCCAACGCCGTCGACTTGTGTCGCTCACCACCCTCGATCGCTGTCACGCCTTCCATCCTGCCTCATCACCTCGCCGATTTCGGTCTCACTACAAGAGGAAGCCCATCCCCGCCGCTGATTCCGAACTAAGCAGTAGCCTGGTTCTGCTTTGACGGTGCCCAGGAGACTTGGTCAGCGGAAGCATTGCTTAGTCCGTCGCATCTCCGAAGCCGCACAGATTCTTAAAAAACGATAGGAGCCGCCATGGCGGAGGAAGCAAAAGACGGCTTCGTCGGGTTCCTTCTCTATCGCGGAGGCACGCAAGTGGGTGGTGGAGAACAAGCTGCGCACTGTGGGCGGGCTGTGGGCGAGCGGCATCGCGGGGTCGGTGCTCTACAACATGCGGAAACCCGGCGAGAAGATGAGCGTCAAGATCATCCACGCCAGGTGAGATACGCGTTTCGCAGTGGCTCCTCGACGCAGGCCTCAAGGTCATTTCAAGTTGCGAGTTGCCGTCGATGGAAATCTCTACGGAACAGTGGCCCCTCGACGCAAGTTGCGACGGCAAGTTGCGACGATTTTTCGACCCTTGCTGTCGTCGCTGCGAATAGCCATGGCGGTTAGATTTAGCTTATTCTGAAGGCGCCACGTGCGCCGATGTCTTGCGGACCGTGTAAATTTAAGGCAGGGGCTTTTTGCGCTGTGCAGAGATAGGGGGGGCGCCTTGGAGGCTCCGAGGCTCGCAAGACACTTGTGGACCCCAACCATGTTTTCCAAGTCACGACTAACTTGGCTCTCTCAGATACCTCATAAAATTTTACTTAAAATTTTCCGCCATCTTTTGCTTTCCGTATCCCCGCAGGTTGCACGCTCAGGCGTTCACACTAGCTGCTCTACTAGCTGCTGCTGGTGTGGAGTATTGGGAGCACTCGTCCAACCCTACCAAGAAAGACGCGCGGCAACCGTTGTAATGGGTCTTACGTAAATCTGAAGACGAAGGATAATAGTCGAGGTGTACAGAATCGAGGCTCAATTTCGATGCATTGGAGAGAGCCAGGCTGGGGTGCTAAGGTACCCCTTTCAAGCTGCTTCCCATGCAACTGTTATGGTGCCGACTGAGGGAGCAGCTGCACTCTACTGGATGTGCTGTGTTACTTACTCCCTTCTGTCGCGAACCTAGGATACATCCTGTTGGAGGACAGAACCTCGGCTCAGAGGCGCGAGGGAGTGTTGAGATGGGAAATGGGTGCTCATATTCCAACAGCCATCTGTGCACCAAGTTTCTATTGTGATAAGATGGTCGTGGATGTATTTATTGCTCTTTTCCAATTGTTCTATTCATGAGAGTAACCGATTGCTCATTAGGACCCCAATGCTCATGGGTATCTAAGTTGCA